GAAGGGGGGGCCACGCGCTGGCCCCAGGCTGTTCCTGGCCCTGCGACCGGCCTGACGCCTCCGTTTTGGAGGAACAGGAGCGATTTTCCCATTTTGTTTCCCCCCATTTTGGTCGTATGCATGCACTCTTGTTTGTGTTATAGTTTAGGGGGTGCGTGTTGCGTTTCTCTTTTTAAAAATACGCTTGTACGGATCTCAGAGAGGAAGGGAGAGGGGGTAAAGAGAAAGAAACATCAGTGATGAGAGAGAACCGTGCATCGGCTGCCTCCTGCACGCCCCGCGCCGGCGATCGGGCCCGCAACCGGGCATCCAACCGCGACCTCCTGGTTCACAGGTCGATGCTCATCACCCGAGCGGGTGTGCATATTTTTCACATTTTACGAATTTCTGCTGCAGGAGCCTAGGTCCGCGACCCCAGCGCGGCGGGGTCGTTGCATTCTTAAACCCTCTTGGTGGCTGCACTTGGTGCCTCCAGGATATGAGTGGATGCGACAGGAACCGCAGGGGAGTCCAAAGGGCTGCGTCTCCCGGTGGCTACAGTTTATTTCAGACCTGCGACATCTTGGAGAAGGAGGAGGAGGAGGAGGAGGAGGGGAGGGAAATGGTGCCGCCCTGGCCGCTGCGGTCTTTGCGTTTCGGAGGCGCGCTCCTCTGCAACAATAGACGAGCCGCAGATTGGTTGGGAATAAGGGATATTTTTGAAACTTATCGAGGTTGCTCAGGCCGTTTGCTGGAGTGAGAAGGGATGTTGACTTGATGGCAGCCCGGAAAGTACAAAGCAGCGATTGTCCTGTTTCGGGCAGTTCCTCTAAGCCTCTGCTAAGGCATCTCACGTGCTCAGTGGCCACGTGGGGCTGGTGCCCGCGGCATGGGGGGCGGGGGAGGGGGGGCTGCGCTGATGTCACCCCCCTAAACCAGGGCATCGGATTCCCACTCCTGCATTTTTAAAGGAGGGCAGAGATTCGGAGGTTATTTGTTTAATTTAAGGTTCGGTCGCCTAATGGAAAGAATGGTGGACGAAAAGCGGCCACATGGTGAACCTGACCAGCTCAAGGGAGGCCTGCGTGGTGGCCTCTCAAACTCAGACCTAGGCCAACCACAAAGGATGGTCTGAAATGAAAGCTTTTTAGCAAAAAGCCGTTCACGGCCCTAGGGATAGAGCGCTGGCCTGCGGACTGAAGGGTCCCGGGTTCCATTCCGGTCAAGCGCACATGCCTGGGTTGCGGGCTCCATTCCCAGTAGGGGGCGTGCAGGGGGCAGCTGATCCATGATTCTCTCATCATTGATGTTTCTCTCTCTTTCTCCCTTCCTCTCTGAAATCCATAAAATTTTTTTAAAGCCATTCATGGCGATGTTTCCCCCCGACAAAGGTCAGTCCCCATCTTAGCCTGTCATCTCTTTGCATCTAGGATAACGTACCTGACAAACAGGCCTTTGCAAGAACAAAGTCATCTCCCCATTTTCTCGCCCCTCAAAGCACAGGCACTGCTCTGCGGAGACCACAAATCCACTTGTTTATTTCGTTAATTGTTGACTGTTAACTAACCTGTATTCACCTGAATAAAGAAGTACAGGTGTCAATCATTTTATTTTTTATCCAATCCCAGAAGCTTCCCTCTTTGCTTTCTCCCGCCTCCCTCATCTATCACCAATGGATTTCATGTAACCCACTTATGTCTTCTCTTTTGATCGAAATGTAGAAAATAAGATGCAAAGCTGCCATTTTCTGGAGCATTTTCTCAATAACTTGAGATTTTGCTTCCTGGCAGCTGTCATGCTCAAGTAAACTCACAACAATTCTCTACACTGTTTGAATGTTTCTTAGGTTGACAGAATGTTATTTTGGATTCGATACAGTTTCCAGGCCCAGGTTAGTCACCGGTTAGCAGCGTAATCTTGAGATTTCTGAATCTTTATTTTCTTAGTTTGTAAAGTCAGGTAATGTCACCTGCCTCTGGTTGGTTTTCAGAAGATGAAGATGTTTGAAGTGTCCCCCCCATTCCTGATGCAGGGAAGCGCGTTAGTGCTGGCCCTGAGTGTAGCCATTGGCTCTGAGGTCACTGTCCTGCAGCTTCAGGAGTCCCTGCAGAGCACAGCTCCGGGAAGCATGGAACCCTTTCTTCCTTTGGGAACCGCAATCCTGTTGTCAAAAACCTTGAGAAAACTCATTTTTGGTTGAGGACATTGTAACAACTATCATTTTAATAAATCTGTATTGTTGGAAGTATTACATATGTCCCTTTTTGTCCTCTCTGTCATTTTAGACAGATGAAAAAATCTTTTGTGTGTGTTTTTTTTTGTTTCGTTTTTCAAAATTCCATGTAAGTGGCCAGGCTTGGATCATTAGCTTGGGCAACTGACTTAAGATTTTAGTTTCACTTTGTAAAATGATATAATAAAGGTAGAGTTTAGTGCGGTCTCTGGCACTTAGTAATTGATGAAAGCTGAAGATTGTTTATGAATAGAATTTACTTTATATTTTCTTTAGCAATTAAAACGTTACTTCACGCCCTGGGCTGTTTGGCCCAGTTGGTTGAGCGTCCAGGTTGCTGGTTGATTCCAGGTTGGGGCCCATGCGGGGGCTGCAGGCTTGACCCCCAGTGGGGGGCGTGCAGGAGGCAGCCCATGGATGCTTCTCTCTCATCAATGTTTCTGTCTCTCCATCTCCCTTCCTCTCTGTCTAAAATCAGAAACATTAAGAAAGGGTTTGGTGTTTTGTTTCTTTTTAAGTTTTAGTTACCATTTGTTTTGCACTCTGATTAAAAGTACTTAATTGTGCCCTGGCCAGATGCCTGGGTTGGAGCATCTTTTAAAGTAGACGAGTCTGTTTTAACTTGTTAGGTTCACACAGTAGCCCTTGGGGACTGACTGCTAGCAAATACTGAGTCAGAGTCTGATTTTGCTCATCTGTTTGCCAGTCTGTTACCATGTGTCATGTCCCTTTATCATGGTTACTATACGGAACTCTACCTGGAAATAAGTTAATGTAACAAATTGTCTTGTGAAACTAAATCCAGAGGTTTAGCCGAAACGGGTTTGGCTCAGTGGATAGAGCGCCGGCCTGCAGACTCAAGGGTCCCAGGTTCGATTCCGGTCAAGGGCATGTACCTTGGTTGCGGGCACATCCCCAGTGGGGAGTGTGCAGGAGGCAGCCGATGGATGTTTCTCTCATCGATGTTTCTAACTCTCTATCTCTCTCCCTTCCTCTCTGTAAAAAAAATCAATAAAATATATTTAAAAAAAATAAATCCAGAGGTTTAATCCTTTTTTAAATAAAAAGATTGATGTTAGAGAAAGGGAGGGGGAGTGAGGGAAACATTGATTTGTTGCTCCGCCCGTGCATGCGCTCACTGGTTGATTCTCCTCTGTGCCCTGACTGGATATTGAACCCCCAGCCTTGGTGTATTGGGATGACTCCTAGCCAGCTTCGCTACCGCCAGGGCCAGAACTTCTATCTTATTGCTAAAATTCAAAGTAACTAAGCAACCTTTAAAGTTGCTAACTGTATTCAACATTCAGCAACAACACACTCTCCACCCTGTAAGAGAACGGCTATAAAATTGGATAGTCATGGACCTAAGTTTCAGCTTCTACTGGGTTTTGTTACCATTTTTGTCATTTCACACAAATTCTGGCTTAGCAAATTGTATTTCTCCGTTGACTCCACACACTCTCCACGTTCATGTCTGAGGTGCCTTCTGTTTTGATGGGAACGACTTCACTTCCGCAGCGTTTGGAGGCAGGAGAGAGGGATGGAGCCACATGCCCTGGACCCAGCTGCCTTCTGTGAGCCCCATCCACCACTTCCTAGTGGTGACCTTGGTCACTTTTCTCTGTAAGATGGGGGTGACAGTCGACATGTCTTAGTGTTACTGTGAGGGTTAAGGAAGCTAAGTAATGCTGTTTAGACAGTGTCATGGCATGCAGCGTCGAAAACTTACAGAATGCTCGCTCACCTTAGCCCCCAAGCATCCCGCGTCTTCGTGTCAGTTTTATCCGAAAGTCTTCCGCGTCTCCTCTAGTCTTGCCCTGATATTTAGGAATCCCTCATTTTCTGCCTAAAGAGGGCCAAACAAAACCCTAAGCGCAGTGAGGGTGGGCTATGTCATGTGTTCTTTTCCCCACACTCAATTGCCCGGTGGTGAATAGCCAGGAAAGGTAGTTTGTTAGAAATATAGGGCATTCTTCAGATTAATGTGCAAGGTCCGCTTTGACCTATATGTTCCTGTTGAAACGGCCAGAATTGTACAGGCCTTAGCGTGGTAGCCTTGGTTGTAGAGGGCGGGGGCTGGCAAGGGAGGCTGTGTGGTTAAGCTGGTTTGGAAGGTTAGAGAAGAAAAGAGGCGCCCTGACCATAGTGACCTGTTGGGCAGTCAGCCATGCGTGGGACCTGGGTTTGTGGGGGGCGTGTGCTGCTTTAATCGCGGCTTTGTTTCTCCCAGTGGTCACATTGGGGTGCCTTGTCTTTGGGGCGTTCAGGGGCCTGCTTGCCAGAGGTCACCTCAGGAGTAAGTGTGGGAGCCTTGGCTTTCTTAGCTCTGTCTCGCGGTCAGTCCCCATGTCCCTGGGGGTCGCAGTGACGTCAGGTGTTTAGTGAGCACAGCTCCTTGGCTGTCTCAGTCACCAGTGCTTTATGCATGTTTTACACGAGGCACCGGGAACAGGTGCTCACTTCATCACAGCTCTAACCAAGTGCTGTTCTCAGGCCAGTGTTACCGGGAAGAGAGCGAGGCCAGGTGACTGCCCTGCCTGCCGCCTTGCTGTAGGGGAGGGGAGGAGCGGACACACAGACTGAGGGGATGGGTCGTTAATTGGCGATTTAAATGCAATTGGTGTCCTGTTGTTTGGTCTTAAGGGTTGACAATTTAAGTTACAATTAAGGCTTATTTTTTAAATTTTAAACTCTCAAATTCTGGTTCTCTCCCCTCCCACTTGAGACTGCCAGTCAGTGTTCACCATTCAGGACACAGTCTGTGGCTCTTCAGTAACGAAAGGCCCTGGCAGTGGTGGCCTCGCTCCTGCTCCCTTCCATGCCCTTTGTGGGTGGGTGGGAGCGAGGGAGTGCTGGCTCTGCTTGTATGACTCGGGAGACCGCGGATGGGCGTCTCCGTCTTGTCAGGGGCTGGTCCTGGTGCCCAGGGGGCAGGAAGCTCCTGCCCGGAAGGGTCCCGCTGTGCGCAGCGCCTGGACCAGAACCGTTCCGGACCCTGGCAGTCACAGGAGCCCCAGAAGCTGCAATGTTTTGGGAACAGGGTGAGTGACCGCCACCGCATTTCGCTTCTTTGGGTTCTCATTTCATTAATGAAAATGTTTCCTTTCTTGTAGGAAGGAAGAAACAGAAGCTTGCCAAGGAGAGAGCTGGACTGTCCAAGGTAAGACGGCGTCTGGTTCTGGCTTAGATTACACGGGGTGGGCAAAAGTAGGTTTACAGTTGTGAGCACACAAAACACGTTCTAGTCTCATCGTTTTGTAAGTAATTATTGTATTTTCTTACGAACAACTGTAAATTGCCCACCCCTATATTCTATACTTTATAGAAATAATTATTTAAAACGTTACTTCAGGTATATTGATTACAATTACATAAAAATCTATAATGGTGATCAAAAAATTACAATGTGCATGTTTTATGGTAGTGATATTTGCATTCCTTTTTTACTTCAGGTTTGACTCAGCTTTCTAAAAATTGTTCAAAATCCAATTTGGTCAATAAGTTGTTTTTGTGTGTGTGTGTTTTACATTTGTGTCAATGTAGATACTAAACTAATCTTTGCGAGTGCTATTGAGTAAATTTCCATCTTTGGTTTTATTTTTGGTGGCATGACTTTCTGTGTATAGGTCATGTCCCGGGGCGTAATTTTGTTATCAGTCAGTAAATGTTCTCCTTCCAAACAGTTACCTGATCTGAAAGACGCGGAGGCTGTTCAGAAGTTCTTCCTTGAAGAAATCCAGCTGGGGGAGGAGTTACTCGCTCAAGGTAAGAGTCGCAGAACACAAGTTCAACCAAGTAAACGTGAAGACCTCCATGGCTTTACTGAGCGATTTGTGAATGGGGCAGCAGCCCATCTGGCACCTGCAAGGAGGGCACGCCCTCCACCGGGTGGGTCAAAATGGAAGATTTTTGTGGGAAGCAGGGAGCTATTGGTGAAAAAAGAAGGGATTCTATTGGGGACACATCTTTTCTTTTGGGGGGAGAGGGTATCGTGTAGATTGCCTTTTGTTTCTATGAGGGATAGAGAAGGGCCTATGACTCTTGACCAGAAAATTGCAGGCTGGTTCATGAAGATTATCTTTCTCAGAGACATTGGGACTGCAGTTAGATCAGGTGTTAAATCTGGGTTTAGTATCATGGGCTTTTAGCACAAGTGACACCTTTGGGGAGCTGATGTTTATTTTTCTTTAAAAGACTAGAAAACTGAGTAGAAGATGCCGTTGTAGAAGCATTTACATTTGTTAGGGTGTCTCGCTGCTGGTACTGGGAAGAGGGGTGACCTTATCTCTAGAAACTCTGTCAGTGCAGAAGACAGTGGTTTCCGTCTGTAACCATCTTACCCTCGTTCACTGTGCTTTTCCTGGTCAACTGCCTTGCCTGTCTCCCCCATCTCCATCGCCTTGGTCTTCTGCCGAAGAGGGTGTTTAGTACGTAAGGTGGTGGCTTTGGCCCCATTGGTGGGGTTCTCTGTTACCGGGGTCTCGGGTGAACAGGAGGTATGCGTGTCAGTAAGCCTGTTGGTTGGTCTCCCCTACAAACCCTACTCTGCTGCCCATTGAATGAGATTCCAGTGCCTTTCTGTGTTTAGAGACACCAATACCACTGTTGGCTACAGTGTCGGTATCAGTACAGGGGCCTGCTGTGCAGGCTGTGGAACGGGAGGTGTTGCAGGGGCTGCCCCATCTAGGTGGGTGAGTGCAATCCGATGTTCGCCCAGAGATGGACTTGCGTAACCGTGTTTCTCAGAACTCGTCCCCATCATCAGGCCGTGCGGGGCTATATTTCAAGACAAGCTTTTAGACATTTAATAACGTGAGGATTGTGTTATTGGAGACTGGCTCTAGAAATTAATGTTTCTTGTGCATTATCATTGCCCATAATATATTTTGAGTGAATTTTAAGTTTACTTGATATAGAGAACATAAGTAATCTTTACAAGTGAGGCCGCCTTTGCCGGGCCAGTGTGCTCAGTGGTTGGTGCGGCGAGGACTTTAGCGTTGAATTCCGGAGGAAGGCAGAGGCTTTTCGGGTTGTGCATTACTTTTCTGTCCCTCTTCCAGGGGAGTATGAGAAGGGCGTGGACCACCTGACCAACGCGATCGCAGTGTGCGGCCAGCCCCAGCAGTTACTGCAGGTGTTACAGCAAACTCTCCCGCCACCAGTGTTCCAGATGCTTCTGACCAAGCTGCCAACCATTAGTCAGGTAAGGATGTGAAATGTTCTGAAAGAAAGTAGAATGTGAGAATTAAATATGTAGGGACATGAGCATTTAAAGAGGAGCCCAGGGAAGTGTTGCAATCATGAAACTCATCCCTATAATGAAAATAGTACTTCAGATAACAGGGCTTGATGGAAGAGCATGCAGGCGACTGGCTGGGCCTGCGATCTAGGGATGGTGCCCTAGATGTGGGTCAGGAAGCGTGTCTCTTAGAGTTAAGTCTCAGGCCTCTTATTCAAATCCCAGAATTCAGGCCACTCTCAGCTACTTTGTAAAACTAGTTCTCTGCCTCCTCTTCTGTGAGACCCTGCCTTCGGGCAGTGGCTGGGAGAGAACAGGAGCCAAGTTGGCAGCGCCTGGAAATAGGGCATGGAGACCCTGCACCCCTCGTGCCTCGCTCCTGCCAGGTGGGCTTTGGGGTTGGAGTTATTCGACTCTCAAATAGGGCAAAATACCATGTGTGTTTAGGGTGACCCAAAGCTCCAGTAATGAACCTGCATTCTGCTCACTTTAGCCCTTCCCAGGGGGCCCAAGTGCATCTGCTCTTTGGAATGGCATGGCCATTACATGCGTTAATGTCCACATTTGGTGTGATTAAAAGTTAGTAAAATGTAATCATCAAACTGACCTTGACTCCACTAGATTGGAAGGGGACTAAGGAAAGACAGGTTCCCAAAGAGGTAAGGGCGAGGGGGAGAAGCCCAGGACTTGGTCTTAATGCCTTTTATGTAGACGGATGTGGTTCCCAGGCTGTGTCAGAATCACCCACGTTACGGCATTGGCGCTTGGAAAGCAGCGCCGCGAAGGGCTTTGGGGAAACTGACCCGAGGGTGATGCCTTGAGAATGTGTGAGTTCAGGATGAGGCCTGAATTCCTCTCGATAAAGATGACTTTTTACTCAGTTATTTGTCTCATGTCGTCTGGAAATGCTTTCAAAATGCTAATTTGAGAGCACGGTGTTTCTTCATGCAGTGATTTTGAACATTTCCAGGCCCAAAAGGGAAAGGTTTGGAGCATGGGATGGGCAGTATTCTTAGCGCTAATCAGTATTTTTAGTGTGCGTAGGAGTAAGAAGAGATCTCGAATACATTTTGGTTTCAGTTATGTAATTGGCCGACATGTAGCACAATGCGATGGAGTGCCTTCTTTATTCACTTGAATTTTGTCATGAGACTGACAGTTGTCGTCATTATTAGATGTTAATAAAGCGTTGAATGTTGAAGTAAATCGCAGAATGGGTAAATTTAGCAAGATTTGTTTCTCTAAGTCAAAGGGCATTTTTGCTGAACTTAGAAATCTGATTAAATGCTTACACGTTGTAAGAGTTAAAATTTTGTTTTTCTTTTTTCAGAGAATTGTAAGTGCTCAGAGCTTGGCTGAGGATGATGTGGAATGAGAAACAAATGTCAACATGATCTCAATTAAAAATATTTTTAAAATCTTGACTTGGAGGATGAGCAGCTCTGGGGGAATAAGGGCAAATACGCTTGCTATGGACTGTCCTACACTGAATCTACCAGAGTGGATTTTTACTTTGTGTAGATCCATCTGTCTTTTATTTATTTTTCCCAGTGAAGAGTGTATTTTGATAGAGAGCTTTTCATTTTATAAATACACTATGAGTTACCGAAACATCATGGATTTTGTTTATTCCTAAAACATGTAATTAAAATGGACACATAACATCATATTAATGTACATCCAAAATATCTAGTGCTCAGTTTTGAAAGGCAAAAAAAAGCAGGGGAAGGCTGAAGAATTCACGTTTTATAAGCTAGAACATTTGGCTGGAAATGGGATTGTGTCTATCAAAGCTGGGCATTAAAGTCTTTGAGATGATTTCTTTGCATTTAGTCTCTTAAATATGTGAGATGTGCTGCTGTGCCGTATTACCTTCCCCACCGTGTGTATCAGTTGTGAAGTGCGTGGTTTAAGGCAGTGGCTAATGTGCTCTGGATGTTTCCCTGCTGGTCCTGCAGGTCGCACTGGGCACTAGATCTGTGTGCACCTGACCTGGCTGCTGGGCCTCCCACTCTCCTGGTGATGAAGGGAGGGGACTGGTTCTCCCGTTCAGAGAAGGGTCCCTCTCAGCTTCTAGTTCATTTCGTTGTTCAGCATCATGAGATTCAGCCTTCTCCTGAGGAGCAGTCAAGCCTTGCACTTTTTTATTCTCTGGATTTTGCATGCTTGCCTGACTTCGTATTTCTGAAGATTTTTTTAAAGGTATAATGTGTTGATTTTCACTGAAATCATGTGCTTTTGTCACTATTCTTGTAAATTAATCTGAAACTTAATCTTTAAGGTACTGAGATGATATGCTTGTAAAAATGTTTCTTTGCTTTTATCTTAATGTACCTCCTTGATCCTTTAATCTGATTCATTTATCTTATGATGAGAATAAGGTGGAGCCTGTGGCTGGGGACTTGCAAAGCCTGGAGGGAATGGACCTCTTGTTTTTGAAACAGTGACATTGTCTGCCATCACAGATCCAGTGTCAGGCCCGAGCCAGGGCCTGGCGTGTGGAACTGAGTGGTGTTTCTCAGGTTGCAGGCTGCCTTCCTTCTGCCTGGACCTCTGTGGGGAGATCCCAGACCTGTTCTATGTGCACTAGGCTTTTTATCTTGTTTTACTTACAAACCTTTCTTTACCATGAACTCGGGTTTTGTGGTAGTGGCGAGAGTCTGAATATGGTTCTGATATCTGACTGGAGAGCTGCACGGCCTTGGGCAAGTCACATTGCATCTCTGAACTTCCATGTTCTCATCTATGAATTTAGAACTAGGTGACTCACCTCTAATGACTTCCAGGTCTGTGATCCTGAACCTGTAAACTGGTGTGTTGTTTTTTGTTTTTGTTTTTAATTACACCCAGCGTGCTTTTTGGGGGGAGGGGTGACGAGTACAAACATGCTGGTGAGTCAGTTTTACTAATAGGAACCCTGATCCAAAGCAGGGAGTGGTGGTTGGTCAGTGATTGGAAACAGTCTTCCCTCCTGCTCCCGCCCAAACAGTGTTCAGAACAGGGGCCGCTTGAGGGAAGAAAGGACTGAGCACAGGGTCGGAGGGAGCACAGGTGGGGAAAGAGCAGGGACTGACCCATAAAAACAGGACTGGCTGGAGGACTAAGGGTAGCTTAGACATGGGAGGGTATGAGGGTAAATGTGTGTGTGTTTGTATACATACGTACTAGAGGCCTGGTGCATGAATTCGTGCACAGGTGGGGTTCCTCAGCCTGGCCAATGACCACAGGAGGTTGTCTGAGGGAGTGCACTGACCACCAGGGGGCAGCTTCTGTGTTGAGTGTCTGCCCCCTGATGGCCAGTGCTTACCATAGCAACCAGTCATAAGGGTCCCTTAGGCTTTTATGCATATAGAATATATATACACACACACATGTATTTCCCTGGACACATCGTTGCCAACGTTTCCTGGAACCTGGCAGCTACGTTGACGCTGGCCGAGTGGTGCTCAGCCCAGGCTTGGAACAGGGATGGCCGCTGTGTGTCCTGTGGCCACACGTGGGTGCTGGGGGGAACCGTTGGCAATGGAAATGAGTGCCCGTGGGCCTGCTCCTTTGGGCAGAGAGCTATTGTTTGGTTCCTTGGTTTGTACTTAACGGGAAAGAGCATTTAAAACAGGCCTCCCTGGTGGGTGGTGGCAGTGCGGTTATAGTGACATAACTAGGACTCCGTTCACACTGAGCCCTGAGTGCACCTGGTGCAGTGCACACAGCAGGCAGTCTGCCTGCCCTGGCCCCTTTGAGGCAGCTGTGGACCAGAGTGTGTGAATGAAATGTTACTGCAAAGAGATTCTGAGATCATTGGTGTACCCTGCAGACATCATGAAATTTCCTTTCTTGTAACATAAATGCAGTGTCTGATTGCTTGTGGCTCACCGGCGTACGTGACCATTAAAGGGCTTGGAGAAAAAGTTGGCTCGGTGCTTATTTGCAGAAGTGGATTCTGAATTGGTGACAAAGTCATGGTACCTGAGTGTGTGTGGGTTCCAGCATCTGAGGGTGTTGGCAGCTGGGCAGGTGAGGATCTTGGTAGTGATGGCTTTCCACCCTCAGCGTGAGCCAGAGCCCCTTGGAGGCTTGTTGAGCAGCTGGCTGGGCACCAGGCTCATCCACGCTGCTAGCGCTGCTAACAGTGTCCCAGGCCTTGGAGCTGCTGCTGGTGTGGGGCCATGATCCGAATGGGACACGGATGCTCCGTGGCGACATGGAGCACGTGACAGGTGACCTTTATTAGAATGACGGCTGTGTCCGGTCACAGACGTGCGCTTAGCTCTGTAACAATGGGCTTAAGTGGGATGAGAAGGTCAGCCAACAGAAGCCGCCGGTGCTCACCCAGACGTGAAGCATACAGACTGTCGTCCGCAGACTTCATGTCCAGGATCGCCAGTCCACTTCAGTGCGCAAGGAGCGAGGGTTTCTCCAGAAATGGTCGTCTCCTAGGCGGACGCCACCTGAGCAGAAGTTCCACTCCGGAGCATTGTAGCTGTGAGTTTTCAAATCTGACTCCAGTTTTGTGTTTTGGGGTGAATCAAATGTTTCCCCCCCTTTTTAAGTACAAGGTTTCTAGATCACTATAATATATACAATATTTTTTTCTTCACCTTTTAAAGGCTGCAATGTGTTCTAGAAACAGCCCAGGAGGCCTCGTGGGGGCACTGAATCCTGTTCAATGTCCACTGATCCTGGGAGGTGTCACGTGTTTTGATGTAATGCTGACAAAGGAGCTGGGGCTCGGGGCTGGAGGGAGGACAATGGGGAAAAGTCCATGGTGTGTGGGCTGCATGTGCAGGGAGACCGCGACCCCCTGGAGCTGGGCTGAGCTCCGGGTGGGGGAGCCCTGCCTTTGCACACAGCACTGGACAGATGGAACCCAGCGGCCTTGTCTGCTCCTGGGTCGAGGAGGCGTCTTTGAGGGCCCGCAGCCAGCACCTGCCTCCGTTTTCTCAGCAGCACACAGGCATCGTCCCCAGGGCAGTGGGCACGATCACGTGACCTCGGGAGGGTTCACAGGGCACCTGCAGCTGCTCACGTCCTCTCCCTGGGAGGAGGGCAGCTCTGGTCCTGGCAGAGGCTGGCTCTCCTGTCACCAGCTGTTTCAGGCCCCTCCCGTAGGACACGCAGTGGTTTCAGAAGCTCCCATGGCAGTCCTGTAGGCAGGACTCTAGCAGCAGGTACAGAGCCCCACCTGGGAAGGAGAGGCTGGAGCTGGGCACGGGCGGCTCCGGGGTGTGTAACTCCATCTCCTCATGCAGTTACCCCCGCCCAGTGTCGCATGGCAAATGGAAGGCTCAGGCTCCCCCACCCCGGCTCTAATGAGGTACGATTCACAAATAAAACTTGTATGTATTTACGATGTACCATGTGATGTTTTGATGTACATATACATGAAATGATTACCACCTTCAGTCTGATTAACATGTCACCTCACAGTTACCTTCTTTGTGTTTGTGGGGAGAATAAAGATTACTATACAGATTTCAAGTGTACAGTCCTTAACTGCAGTCCCCTCTGCCCAGCATCTCTTGTCCTTCACCGCCCCACTCCAGCCCTGCTCATCTGCTAACGCCATTCTCGGTTTCTCAGATTTGACTTTTTAAGATTCAGTGTGAGATGCAGTATTTGCTTCTCTGTCTCTGGCTTATTCACTTAGCATCTCCCACAGGTTTGTTCATGCCAGATGTGGTCAAGTTTCCCTTTTTAAGGATGAATATTCCATCAACTGTATCGTTTTATGTGTGACTCACCCACGAGTAGGCACAGGCCGGCCCCACAGCTTGGCTCCCGTAAATGCTGCAGTGAACACAGCAGACACCTGAGGTAGTGATTTCGTTTCCTGTAGACAGACACCCCGAGTGGCATCGCTGGGTCACAGTAGTTCTGTTTTTAAGTTTTTGAGGAACCTCCATACTGTTTTCCATACCGCTGACAAATTGACGTCCCCACTGAAAGTCCATGAGGGTGGCCCGGCCGGCGTGGCTCAATAGTTAAGCATTGACCTATGAACCAGGAGGTCATGGTTCAGTTCTCTGTCAGGGCACATGCCCAGGCTGTGGGCTCGTTCTCCCATGTGGGGCGTGCAGGAGGCAGCTGATCAACGATTGTCTCTCATCATTGATCTCTCCCTCCCTCTCTGAAATCAGTTTTTAAAAAGTGAATGAGGGTTCCCTTCACACCATCACCAACTTACCTTTTGACTTTGCTGTTAATTCTCACCCCTCAGCCAGCCAGGTGCCTGGGCCTGGAGGCCGGTGACTCACTTTACTCCCAGGGCCCGGGCTGCCTTCACGGGGTAGCTCCTGAGCGACGGAGGGTGGACCTGAAATGCCGGCTGATGCTGGCTGGCCCCTCGGGCCCGCGTGGTCCTGTTTCTAGGAGCAGAGTTCCTGCTTTTGAACTTGAAAGGGGGAGACCCTTAAATCTGTCAGAGGCCTGCGGGAATGACCCTCCAGAACTAAATGGAAAGGGCTAAGAGCTCATCATGACTAGATAGTTTTCTGCCTCCAGGAGTTTTGTGAGTTTACGACAAATGGACTGATTAGCTTTACACACAGGCCTCTTATTATGCAAACCGACAATGCATAAACACAGATCAAAGGTTTCCCCCCTGAGAATAGTTTAGAAACAGCACGAAGAATAATGAGTAATTATGAAAGAAAGCGAGTTAGCAGCACTGCTACCGCCAGTGCGTGCCTCCCCCAGCACAGGCTCCTATACGGGACCGCTGAGCCCGTCCCATGGCGGGGAGGTTGGAACAATGGCAGGAACTCGGGGGACTTCGTCCAAACAAGCCAGCCTTCCCCTTGACACCGGGATGTAAACAT